CGTCAGACAGAGCAAGATATGACAAAATGATAATTTATAAATTATCAAGGGCTCATGAGGGAGGGGGGAGCAGGGAGGGAGGGGGAAAAATGAGGACCTGATGCCAGGGGTTTAAGTGGAGAGCAAATGTTTTGAGAATGATGAGGACAATGAATGCACAAATGTGCTTTACACAATTGATGTATGTATGGATTGTGATACGAGTTGTATGAGCCCCTAATAAAACGATGAAAAAAAACAAAACACCTCATCAAGAACACTTGTCAGGTGCCATCACGTTGGTGCCAACTCACAGTGACCTTGTGGCACAACAGAACAAAACATCACCTTGTCCTGTGCTATCCTCACAATTGTTGCTGTTTGAGCCCATTGTTCATCCCCTGTGTCTGTCCTTCTCTTTGAACGCTGTCTTCCTTTTTGCTGCTCCTCCATTTTTCTAGACACGATGTCCTTCTCCAGGGACTAGTGTCTCCTGACACATGTCCCGAGTGTGTGAGAGATGAAGTCTCACCATCCTTGCCTCTGTTTGTTCTTCCGTCAGTACATGGTACTTTCTTCACCAGCACTGTAGTTCAAGTACATTGATATTTCTTTGCTCTTCCTTACTCAGTATCCAACTTTGACAGGCCCCTGGCTCAAATGCAAGGAACTAGAGGTCAGATGGTCATGATGAGCCAGATGTAAGATGCAGATCCAGCAAACAGCTGTAGTTCCACCACCAAGTCTATGTGTATTTAGAAGTAGGCCACACATTTGAGGGAACTCCCTTTCCATTAACTGGCTGCTCATGGCAGAGCTCATCCTGAAGATGACTGATTATTCTTAGAGGTCACCATGGGGGGTTTAGTGCATCATAACTGCCAAACCACTGAGAAGCATGGCCCAGTCAAGTTAACCTATAACTATTTAACATTGATTTTTATCCATAAGTTTTATCCAGTGTCAATAATGGTGTGTTAAAGTCTCTTGCTACGTATAATTACAGAGATGTCTACTGTTCCTTGA